AAACTGGACTATTGCAGCATGTCTAATAACAAGGCACAATGACTTAACCATCAAAAACAATTTTTATTATATTCTTAAGAACTTACAAAGTGTTTCTACAACTTGCTCCAGTAATTGCATTTCTCACAATGATTTCTAATAAAATAAACTAAAAGAAAAAAAAAAAAGACCACACACAACATGATACCACACTATATACACCTATTAGAATGGGCAAAACCAAAAAACAGTGACAATACCGACTGCTAGATAGAGTATAAAGCAACGAGAACTCTCATTCACTGCTGGTGGGAATGCAAAATGGTACAGGCACCTTGGTAGATAGTTTGGTAGTTTCTTCAAAAACTAAACATACCCTTACCATACAATCCTGCAATCATCCTCCCTGGTGTTTTACCCAAAGGAGCCGAAAACTTACAAAACCCTGTACATGAATGTTCATAGCAGCTTTATTCGTAATTGCCAAAATTTGGAAATAACCAAGACATCCTTCAGTAGGGGAATAGATAAACAAACTGCGGTACATCCAGACAAAGGACTATTATTCAGCCCTGAAAGGAAATGAGCTATTAAGCTATGAAAACACATGGAGAAAACTTAAATGCAGATTACTAAGTGACAAACCTAATCTGAAAAGGCTGCATTCTATATGACATTCTGGAAAAAGCAAAATTAGAGAGACAGTAAAAGGATCAGTGGATGTCAGGGCTTCAGGGAGAGAAAGGGATGAATAGGCGGAACACAGGAATTTTAGGGCAGTGAAACTATTCTGTACTATAACGGTGGATACATGTCATCACACATTTGTCCAAACCCATAGAATGTGCAATACCAAGAGTGAACCCTAATGTAAACTATAGACTTTGGGTGATTATGACGTGTCAATGTAGGCTCATCAATTGTAACAAATACACCACTCTGGTGAGGGATGTTCATAAAGGGGAAATTGTGTGTATGTGTGGGCAGGAAGTGCACAGGACATTTCCATATCTTCTACTCAATTTGCTGTGAAGTTAAAATTGCTCAAAAAAAAAATAAGGCTAATAAAAAACAATTTAAGTTGAATAAAAAAGTTAAATAGAAAAAAAAGATTTCACACAAATCATAAATATATGTGTGTGTGTACAAATTTATGTTCTACTGACCTGTACCTGAGCCAGTGATAGAGTGGGGTGGGGGGGGAACTTGGGAGCCAAAAAACCTGACCTCAAGCTGCTTACATAATTTTGAGATTATTGAGTTATTCATTAAACAAGCCTGTATTGAGCACCAACTATCTGCCAGGCATTTTTCTCAGTACTGAGGACACAGCAGAGAAGAAAAACACGAGGTAAAAAAGCCATCTTCATGGAGCTGACATTATACTGACTGTGAGTTTTAGGGTCTGACAAACCTGGGTTCAACTCTGACTTCTCCAAGTTCTGATGTGACACCTTGGGCAAGGTATTTAAACATCCCCTGAAATTTATATCATCCTCATATAGTGGAAATGATAATATAGGGAGTAATGAGATGTGAGATTTTACACAAAAAGCTTGTTGCAGAGTGTCTGACACACTTCAATATACATCAGCTCCTATGATTAAGTTGCTTGACCAGTCTGAGTCTCAGCTCCATGGATAACAGATAAGAGAAATGGATGAGATAATTGTCTAGAACAGTGACTGACACATACACCAGAGTGAGCAAATAAGAGCTCCCTTTGCCTTCTGCCCATTCTTGATAATAGTGAAACACAGGAAATAAGTTAATTGCCAAGTGGTCAAATAATTAATTGCAATCCACTGGGTACAATAATTAAGCCATCAACAATGACAAGGACTATAACAGCACAGACAAGCTTATAACATAGCTTTGAAAAGGAAAAAAAAGCAAAAATTTAAAAAATACAAAATTATAGACTACTCTCAACTACAGCTATGTAAAAATAGCGGATGCCAATGAGAGTGTAAACTATCAAGGAAAAATGGGAAGGAAGACCTGTCAGGATGGTGAGACTAGAAGTGAACTGACAAATTTGTATTTCTGCTAATGATCTTTCATAGATTTGGTAATTAATAAATTGTTTTAAAATGACCGTTTCTCTGATGAAGGTAGTCTGTACAGACAACTCCGGGAGGCACTGTTCACATACATGACAACATAAATGGTATCCCCTAGAGCTGTGCAGGGTGGTGGTACTGCTTCCTTCACGTTGTTAAAACAGGGGATCCCCAAGCCAAGAGTCCAAAATGACTCCTGTGATTTTTTAAATCACAAAATGGTAGCCCTCTGCAATGCCAGGGCCACAGGGGTGACCTTCTACCCACAGGTGGAGAACAGAAAGCAAATAGGCCAAGATCGGGGCTGCCTCCTGTCCTCATCTTTGCCTGCAGACGTTCATTTCAATGCCACATTAACAAGACTGAATTTACTGTGAAGGTCTATGTACAGGCACTGTGGCAGACACAGTGTCTCAGGAGTAGGCTCCTTGCCTTCAATGAAGAGGATCGTAATTCTCCTGGGGAAATATGAAAAATAATCATAAATAATTAAAAATTATAAACTTCAGCATGAGTGACTATAATAATTACCGAAATTCGTTCATCACTAAGCTGTAGCTGATAAAATGTGTTTTAAACAGTAGTTCCTCCAAAGCAGGACTGCATCACTGGACAGTTAGAGCAGGCATCGTCGTCCAGTGGTAACTGTGCAGTGCAGGGTGGCAGGTGCCTGGGAGTCGTGCAACGTGCAATATGGTGGCTCTACTGATGGCAAGTTCACATTTTCTAGAAAGAGGGGCTTCCCTGCTCATGCTATAGTTCCCTTGGTACTTTAAAGGGACATGCTTTCACCCATCAAAGGTACTTTGGAGTAGGGCCACGAGGAAGACGACTTGACCTTGAAAGACCAGGAGAAGGATGCCCTGCAGTCAGGCCATCTCTAACATCAATCATTGCAACAGTCTTCCCTCTGGAATGGGGAGTCAGACTGAGGCAGAGGGAAAGCAGTGCAGGTGGCCAGCTTCCTCAGCGCTTGCGCCAATCTGTGCCTCTTTGGTTAACATCTTCTGGAAACCCTGAGGCTGCCTAGTCCACTCCTCAGTGAGAGTGCTTTGAGAGGGGCAGGAATGGTTTGGAAGTGGAAAGGGCACTGAGGGAGGGATACCTGGGAGAGGAGGAGGAGGATGCGAGGCGCAGCCAGGCCAGGACTGGGGCTGGAAAAGGAGGTACGGTCCAATGTGTGGGGCCCAGGCTTCAGCTCCCCACCTTTTCCCAGTGAGGAATGTTTAAAATTTCCCTGATGTCTCTCTGGGCTTCCATCCCTAACCCCCCCAGGAGCGTCAAAGGAGAAATATGGGAGGTGACAAGCTAAAGATATACAGGTTGAGTATCCCTTTTCCGAAATGCTTGGGACCAAAAGTGCTGAATTTTAGATGTTTTCGGATTCTAAAATATTTGCTTGTACATAATGAGATATCTTGGGGAGGGGACCCAAGTCTAAATAGGATATTTATTTGTTTCATATACACCTTATACACATAGCCTAAAGGTAATTTTATATAATATTTTTTATAATTTTGTGCATGAAACACATGACCTGTCACATGTGGTCTGGTGTGGAATTTTTCACTTGTGGTGTCATGTTAACCCTCAAAAAGTTTTCGATTTGGGAGCATTTTGGATTTTTGAATTAGGGATGCTCAAATTGTGCCAGGAAAGTCTTTAAATACCACAAATAAATAACTCCCGGGTTTTTAAGGGCAACGAGGAACCCCTGCAGGTTTCCTTGTAGGCAAGTGTGAAGCTAAGGAACCACGACCGTCAACTCAAGCGTGTGCTGCCCACAAGAGGTTTCTAAAAACATCGGCAAGTACCCTATTTCCACTCACACCTGCCATTCACTCCTGCACAAGGCTCCTCTCAGCGACTTACTTTATCCTTTGAAGGAACTTCTTAAAACATTCCCAGGTCCCTTACTCTACACTTCATGGAAGGATTTCTCAAAGCTCCTGAATTTGCTCCACACATTACATTTCTGTGGATTTGGCTTTGCCTAAAAACACTACAACTGCAATCCAGGTCATAAAGATCCTACATTTAACAGAAAAAGAAACAAACAAAACAACGGTTTAAATACTTGGAAATTTTCATAAACTATTTACATGGGGGGTTATCTGTGAATACTCAT